ATAACAGGGTAATCCAAAGGATAATGGAATAGGAGAAATAGCAAACCAAATGAGATGAGAGAAAAGGAGGAATGAAATAGAAAGGAGATATAGAAATGTGAAATTGGTGTAACAGGGTCGTACTCTCACACTTCCCCCCCTCAAAGTTGGGTGGTCGAAGTAACACCATGCTTGACAAGGTATTCGCGAAGAGGACGACGAGCGTTACCCATCTCGGATTCAGGAACCCAAGTGTCCTCAGAAGGATCATGCCCTTTCCAATGGAGGAGAAGCTCCACGGTGCCATTCCGAAGACGGCGGTGTGTGAGCACAGACTTGACCTCGTACTCGGGTTCATCGTGGACGAGGACGGGTGGCGGCGGCGGCGGTTGGCGTCCGGTGAAGAACGTGTTAGGGTCGCGATAGGGCTTCAGAAGTTGGACAAGGCGTTGTGAATCTTCCAGGTAGGTGGTAGGCGTAAGCGGAAGGTAACAGGAGTGACCTGTGCTTCAACGAGAAAGGGCCCGCAGAAGCGAGGTCGCAGTTTGGATGGGAGATGACCGATGTCGAGATTGCGGGTGTCGAGGAGAATCTGGTCTCCCACGGTGATGGTGTGGTCGATGCGGTGGCGATCAGCCTGTCGTTTTTGTTGCTGCTGAATATTGAGGAGGCGAGTGTGGGTCCGATCCCAAAGCTGATGCATGGTCGTGATGAAGTCGTGTGGGGGTTGAACTGTAGCTGATGCTGTCGGTTTTTGTGGCGTGAGCGGGTGGCATCCGTAGCAGAGGAAGAATGGCATCTGTCAGTAGCGGCATGAGTGGCGTTGTTGTAGGCAAACTCCAGGACGGGCAGATGCAAGTCCCATTTAGAGATTTCATCTTTGCATGCGGCGCGGAGGAGTTGACCCGCAATTTGGATGAGGCGCTCGGTCTGTCCATCTGTCTGCGGAGGGTAGGCGGATGACATGGCGAGTTTGGTCCCGAGCAGAGACATTAGTTCCTTCCAGAACTTGCTTGTGAACTTGGGGTCTCGGTCGGAGATGAGTGTGGTTGGAATGCCATGTTGGGAGATGATGTAGCGAACAAATAGTTGTGCTGTCGTGTGTGTCGGGATGAAGTGTCCCGTTTTGGAGAATTTGTCGATGACGACGAGGATTGCATCATGACCACTAGTGGTGGCTGGTAACCCGGTGATGAGATCCAGGCTAACCACTTGCCATGGCTGTTCTGGGATAGGAAGAGGTTGTAACAGTCCTGCCTTTTTCTGCTTGCGGCTCTTCATCCGCTAGCACGTAGCACACGAGGTGACGAATTTCTGAATGTCGTCAGCCATGTGGGGCCAGTAGTAGTGCTTTGCAATACCGGTGAGCGTCTTGTTGCTGCTGAAGTGTCCTGCGTATAGGACATCGTGGTATTCTTCGAGTAGCAGCTGGCGCAAAGGAGGGTAATTGGGTACCCAGATTTTCGTGGATCCTTTCCGGTATGCGATGCCATTGTCCCACTGGGGCATGTGTCGTTTTTCTGCCAAAGGAATTTCGGGGTCGATGGCGTACCCGTGTGTGAAAAGTCCCTTGAGTAGTGGATTCATCCCTTCCACCTCGATTGCAGCAATGTGTGCAGCCGACTGAGAGCGTCTGCTTTGTTTTTGTGGCCGGGCTTGTACACGATGTCGTAGTGGAAGTGTGTCTCGAGGAGGTCAATCCACCGGACCTACCGCCTGGAAAGGGTTGGTTGTGTAGGTGATTGGTTGCAGTCCATTCCCTTGGTCTTGCATCACGACTTCTCCCACTGCCTGGTCGTTAGCGTCAGCTTCGATGACGTAGTCGCGTTCGGGGTCTGGCAAGATGAGTACAGGCGCGTACGTGAGTGCTTGTTTCAGCTGCTCCACGGCTTCCTGATATTGTGGTTCCCACTTATAAGGCGTGTTCTTATTCCGCAGCTTCGTGAGTGGTGTTGCAATTTTCGCGTACTGTGGCACGAACAAGTTGTAATAGTTAGCAAAGCCTAGGAACTGCTACAACTCCTTCATATTCTCGGGTGTTCTCCACGTGCGTACGGCTTCGATCTTCTTGGGGTCGACGTGAACTCCTTGAGCGCTCACCATGTGTCCGAGGAATTGGACTTACTCGAGGGCGAACTCGCTCTTGGATAATTTGACATAGAACCGTTCTCGTCGAAGAATGTCGAAGACGCGTCGCAGGTGTTGGATGTGCTGTTGCATGTCGTGCGAGAAAATGAGGATGTCGTCCAGGTACACCACCACGCATTCGTCCAAGAGTGGTCGTAGTATGTGGTTCATTTCTGCTTGGAATGTTGCCGGTGCGTTGGTGAGTCCGAACGACATTACCAGATACTCGTACGACCCATACCAAGTTCGGAAGGCAGTTTTGTGGATGGAATTGTCTGCCATCTGTATCTGCCAGTATCTGGACCGCAGATCTAGTTTGGAAAAAAACGTAGCTCCCCGAAGGTGGTCAAGCAGGTCATCGATTCTTGGAATCGGGTATTTGTTTTTTATGGTCTGCTTGTTGAGAGCTCGGTAATCAATGCACATGCGTAGGCTTCCGTCCGGTTTCGGTGTGAAGAGTACTTGGGCACCGTATGGCGAAGTGGATGGTCGGATAAGTCCTTTGGCGAGGAGATACTCCATCTGCTTCAACCTGTCGGCTAGCTCCGTGGGGCTGAGACGATATGGTGCTCGGAAGGTCAGCTTCGAACCGGATTCTTCCACGATCTCATGTTGGTGCGTTTGGTATGGCGGCAGCTCGTCCGGGAGGTCGTCGAGAAGAATGTCTTGGAACTCAAAGTTATTCCTTGATTTTTTCTGGAGGTTCCGAGGCTTTCTCCCCGTCATTCTCCACCTCTGTCGCTATCGCCAGGAATCCGGTGTCGGTGCGCTTTACGTCCTTCTCAAACCTTGCGAGTGTCTCCACTGGGATATCTCCTGTATCGTCCCATTTGGTAGCTCGACTCTCCTTCCGTTGTTGTAGATGCTTGCGGTGCGATTTACCCAGTTGATCTCGGGGTTAAATATTTTTAGGAAGTCTTGCCCGAAGATCAAGTCAAGCCCTTTTATGTTGGTGATGGGGAGTGCAGGTCTCCAGTGCAGTGGTCCAATTTGTAGGTGTAACACTGCTTCGCCGTGTACAGGTAACTTGCTGCCGTCCACTATCGTTGCAGAGAATGCTGAAGGCTTGTACTCTTCCCGGAGTCGGTCAATTATTGCCTTGTTGTAGATGGTGTGCAATGCTCCGATGTCCATGAGTGCTTGGAGGCGTCGTCCTTTGCATATGACCTCGAGCACGAGGGGCAAGCATTGCTTGGAGTAACCAAAGATATTCTCATTGATAGGATCATAGGGTACATCCCAATAATCTGTACACACCTTTTTGTTGCTAACTACTCCTTAGCTGGCAGCTGGCCGAGGCTGCTTGGAGAAGGGTTCTTCTCCAGGGCCCAGAGTTTCTTTGACGACTGTGTGTATCGTTGATGCCGAATTCGCTGAGCTGGATGCATCCGAAGAAGGAGTTCGGGGTTTTTGCAGCTTCCTATAGACCCCCAGCTTCCTCTTGAGCTGCTTCAGCTCCACCGACGTCTTCCCTGGGGAACGGGTAGTCATTGTGGGCTAGTGTCAGAAGAGGACGTTGACTCCGTGGAAAGGTCGGCTTCTTTCCATACTCCTTAATTTTGTCCCCAAGGTTTCTGGTACCGGTATGATCTCCACAAGTTTCTGCTTCTTCTGGAGTCCCTCCCGAAATTTCTCCGAGGCTCTAGCCCTTCGAAAATCATAAGTTTCATTAAAGCATCTTTATAAGATAACTTTAACGAACCCTTATAATTTCTTGGGTCTTCTCGGAGTTTCCCCGTCTCGGCAGAGTCCATTTTCGCAGAGTCAAATTTTTCCTTGGCGATTTTCTCTGGCGAAGACTGGTCGTGGGGTGGAGATTTTTCCCCATCATTTCCTCCTGCTCGCGTCGAATCAGCTTTGTTGAAGTTGATTTTTCTGGAATCCCGCAGCTGTTTTCGGATCTTTTCCTTTTCGCCAGCTAGATCCGCGATCACTAGCGAATTCTGCTTTTTGTCTTCAGATTGGCCGAAGAATTTCCGCCACTGTTGCGAGCCCGATACTCTGCGCGTGCGGCTTTCATTTTGTTGTAGTCGAAGATTCGATGGCCCGGCACCCCGCAAAAATCACACGTGTAGTTGGTATTTTCGGACGTGGCCGCCCGTCGAACCTGTCGATTTCCATCGGGTCGGCGAACGTAGTGTGAGCCGAGGGGTCGCCCTGTCGCGTACTGCCGATGTGAGACCGTCGTGTTCCGGCGTTGACCATGTCAAACCACTCTACAGCCGATACGACGTCACAGTAGCTCGCGTAATTTGTCGCTGCTACCTGTCGTTTGACTTCGGTCTTCAGCCCGGCGAGATACGACTGTACTTTTTGCCCTTCGGTCAGATCTGGAATGCGGTTATAAAATTCCTCCATCTGCCGCGTGTACTGCGCTACACTCCCGAACTGTCGATGGCGATGGATTTTTTCCCGGGCAAGGAAACCTGAATTTATCGGCTCGAAACGTTTCAGCAGGTCGGTGCGGAACTGCTGCCACGTGGCTTTGCCGTGGATGAAGGTGCTGTTGCCGCCGATCCACTCGAGTGCCAGTCCTCGCATCAGTGTCGCCACGAGTCGTGCACGTTGACCGTCCCAGATTGGCGAGCTCCATCCGACGACTGCGAAGTAGATCTCCATGACGGCGATCCATTCGCGGACGTCGGAATTTCGATCGCTCGGATCGAACGGCTCAGGTGGGCTCGGTTTTGGAGCCTCGAGAAACTGTTGCGATTGCTGCGTCGTCGCCGTTAACGTGTCGTGCTGTGCGCCGGCGAGTCGAGTTACTCGCTCGAACTCGTTTCGCCAAGCTTCGCAATCGGCTCGCATCTCCTCCTGAAGGGCGGCGATGCTCGCGAAGAGCAGCTGGGTAACCCCGAAGTTGTTGAAGTTCGCCATCCTATTCAAAACACGCACAGGGGGGTGGATTAAAAAAACGCGGAGCTGGTGCTTACCAGAATCGGCGCCGAATGAGTCGCCCCTGACGGTTTTTCGAAGTAGGTTTTCATGCTAATTACCAAGTGTCACAGGATCGAATGTGTCGAGGAAAAGTTGCACTATCGATTGAAGAGTACATCAGGTAACCCGGTTTATCCTATCCAAATGGAATAGTCCCCTGTAGAAATAGAATCACCCTGCGTATAGCCACGCGAGGCTATTGGTGTTAAGGGATTACGGCAGGATTACGCTAGATGTAGTGCGCCAATGCATCCCGAGCCTGGTCAGTAATATAATTATAATAACAGGATAAACAAAAGGATAATGGAATAGGAGAAATAGCAAACCAAAAGAGATGAGAGAAAAAGAGGAATGAAATAGAAAGGAGATATAGAAAATGGAAATTGGTATAACGGGGTCGTACTCTCACACCAGGAGCACCTGGAGGTGGTGGTCGTGCTGGTGGCCCTCGCAGCTTGGCCCGGTCCGTTTCCCACCTTGTTCCCCTCCTGTTACTCCTCCTCGGTCTCCTGACCCGACGCCTCCGTCTCATGTCTGGTCTCGTCGCCCCTCCCGTGCTCATCCTGTTTCCCCTGTTCCACGCTCTCACCCTATGTTGCTTCGTTCCCACGCGTCTCGTCCTCCCCTCTTCCCGTCGCCTCCTCTGTCGGCGCTTGTCGTCGCTCCGCCTCCTCTGTCAGACTACATTCTTGCTGCTCGTCTTGTTGTTCCTCGGGTCCTTGCCTCTCTCGTTATCAACCTGTCTGTTCCTGTCTCGAGTCTTTCTGCGCTTGTCGCTGCAGTCGCTGACTTCACCTCTACCGCTCGCCTTGAATACGCCACTGCTCTGGTCACTGACCCTGCACGTTCTCTGTTTGTCGGGGGTTCTCCTGCCCTTGGCATTGACATCCTGGAGGACCGGCAGTACGAGCTTGCTTTTCTGTCCGAGGCTGCTCCCCATCTCTACTCCATGCTGCTAGTCCCTCATGGTGACCCAAACGCCTTTGACATCCCGACCCCTTGCACTTACGCTGAGCTGACCTCGGGACACTGGGCCTCTCAATGGATAGCTGCCATGAACGCAGAGATGGCATCTTAGAGATCCACCGGCACCTTCGTTGATGCAGTTCCCCCACCTGGGGTGAACGTAGTCGATGGCCGGTGGCTCTTCAAGGTGAAGCGCCCTCCTGGAGAGTCGCCGGTGTTCAAGGCGCGCTACGTTGCTAGAGGCTTCAGTCAGCGCGAGGGTGTTGACTTCTTTCAGACCTTCAACCTGACCCCGAAGATGACTACTCTTCGGGCGCTGCTACACGTAGCAGTACAGTGTGACTACGAGCGGCACTGTCTCGACTTCTCGACATCTTTTCTTCAGGGCAGCCTTCACGAGCATGTCTAGTTGCAACGCCTGCCAGGCTTCACTGGCGCCTTCGCCCCGGGGACCCAGTGGCTCCTCCGACGCCTGGTTTATGGCCTGTGGCAGGCGCCGCGTGAGTGGCACGACATGCTGCGTGCTACGTTGGCTGACCTGCAGTTCTTCCCGTTGTCTGCAGACCCTTCGCTTTTCATTCATGCTGGCCAGACCCCGTTCTACATCCTTGTCTACGTAGACGACCTGGTCTTTGCTAAAGCAGACAGAGACGCACTGGCCTCGGTGAAGGCTGAGCTGCTGAGGAGACACACCTGCACTGACCTGGGAGAACTACGCCGCTACCTTTGCCTGCAGATCTCCAGGGTCAGAGAAGCTTGCACCATCACTCTCACACAGTTACACTTGGTGTGCCAGGTCCTTCAGATGTTCGGTCTTTAGTTCTCCTCCACACAGCCCACACCTCTTCCAGTTGATCACAGACTCTCATCTCCAGTCCCTGAGGATTGTGTAGAGCCTAGTGGTCCTTACGCAGAGGTAGTGGGTTGCCTCATGTACCTGATGACTTGTACTCTTCCAGATCTCACATACCCTCTCAGCATCATGGCTCGGTTCGTAGCAACAGGCAGACACCGACCACAACACGGGTCGACCGCTAAGAGGGTTTTGCATTATCTAGTTAGTACATCAGGCATGGGGCTAGTGTTAGAATACGAGAATAATGTACTAGGAAGAGAAACCTAGAACAAATACCTGTTGGGTTGTACTCACTAGAAGCACACACCTAGTCTAGCCTATAACTTCTACATAGAACAAATGTATAAATTGAGAGCTAGTGCTAGGAGGATACAGGCCAGTGGTGCTGACAGGGCACACAGACGCTTTGTGGGCTGACGAAGCTGAGACGCTCAGATCTTCTCAGGGCTAGTGCTTTAGCCTTGGTGCAGGCGCGGGCACGTGGAGGTCCACCCGCTCGTCATCTGTTGCACAGTCCAGCTGCGAGGCTGAGTTCTACGCTGGTGCCATGGCGGCACAAGAGCTCCGCTGGCTGACTTTCTTTCTCTCAGCGGGCGGGCAGTAGAGAGCAGGGGGGACAGCAGAGAGCGGGCAAGCAGTAGATAGCAGGGGGGACAGCAGAGAGCGGGTGGGAAGCAGAGAGCAGGGGCAACAGCAGAGAGCGGGCGGGCAGCAGAGAGCACGGGGACAGCAGAGAGCAGGCTCGTCGCCCTCTCACCCCGCCTCTCCTCACCCTCACATCCGCCTCTCCCCGCCGTCTCATTCGCCTTCCCTCACCCTCTCCCACACCTCTCCTCGCCCTCGGTTACCCCTCTGCCACTTGCCCTCTCCCCCCTTCCCCTCGCCCTCCGTTCTCTGCCCTCCTCGCCCTCCCTTGCTTACTTCTCGCCCTCTCATCCCCGTCTCCTCGCCATCTGTTGCCCCTTCTCCTCCCTATCCAT